CTCCTTTTCTTTGCAGCCAAAAATGATCAGGGACTTACTCCGATCAACTGTGTTTTGCACCAACTTCGGGTTAGATGCCAATTCTTTCCTCACTTCTAGCCTAATGTTTGTTTTATCTTGGTTGCTGCAGTGTTTGACTTCCTTTACTGCTTCTTCTATTTTTTCCTTCTCCTTGGCCACTTGTGCATAAGTGAGTTGCATATCTTTCTTGCACTGTTCTATTCCCTGTGTAACTTCCTCCATCTGTGCTAACAAAACCAACAACAGTTTTTTTTTTCAGGGCTATTACTAACAGAAATCTCTCTGAAGGGGTCAGATTATGGCTCGTGGTCCCTGGCAAGTCCGGACTCCATAGCTAATGTCCCGGTCTAGTATAAAATACATTAGCCAGAAAAGCTCCAGGGAGCCTCCTGGGCTCACCCAGAAAAATGGCATTTCATTACATTCAACGCTGATTTTTTCGTCACCTTTGTTTCCTTACCTTGAATCTGTATCCTCTCTGTGTCCTCTTGTTCTTGAAGTTGCTTGTTTCAGGAATTTCTTTTTGTCAATTTGGTTGATTCCTGTTAATATTTTGTAAGTGGTAATCATATCACTTGAGCAGTGCTGTGCCTTGCAGTGTTGTTCTGCTGTGTGGTGGTGAGTGAGCCTGGAGTAATTTCAGAAGTTCTGGGGCTGCATGCACCAAGGGCCATCTTTCCTAGGTGCCCGGTAAGTGCTGCCCTTGCAGCAGTACTTGGACCCTTCCTCGTCTTGGTCCCTTCCTCGTTTGAGTTCGGTGTAGCTCTTTCTTATTGGGTGCAATATGAGGTCACGGAGTCTTCCTAGTTAGCAGATTGTCCCTCTTTTCTTTTGGTGCATGGTATACGTTCTGTCGGTCTCGCACGCTTGATTGGCAGGGAGATGTCTACAGTGGTTCAGGCTTACCTGGGGGGGCGAGTTTGAGTGCCTCAATGCATGCTTGTACGCCCCTGATCTTCCTAAGGATGTCGGCCAGGTGCAGCTTCATGTGCAGGTTCCCAGTCTTTCGGCACCCCTGGTGGCTGGGGATTTGCGCACCCATGGGCATTTGGCGTTGGTCTTGCATTTCTCTTCTCTACTTGAGCTATCTTCAGAATGGCTTGAGGAAGGCGTGGAGTCGCTGGGTGCCAGGCCTGCGTCTGGTGCCGCAGTGCCGACAGGCTATGCTCGCTCTTTCCCTGGAATCTGCATGGGCCCTGGCGCTAAGGTTTTCATCTCCGTTTTGCCCGTTGCTGTTTGCAGAATCTACGGTTGTGCAGTATTTGCAGGCGACTTTGTCTAGCTGTTGACCTATGTCAAATTTGTTATCCGAGGTGGACGTGGGGGTCGTGCTCGGAAAGGTCGTGCCAGGGTTTAGAGTTCTGTCGGTCGTGGTAGGTCAGCAGTGCCAGTTTTGGAGCCGGCGGCGTCTGGTCGATGCGATGCTCACTCTGCCTGTCGGTCTGCTTCTCATAAGGGGCAATTACCCTTTCACAGTTCGCCCCATTGACTACTGGGGAAGTCAATGGTGAAAGATGGGGATGGGTTTGCCCAATTTGCTCACGCCTAGTCCCACAATTTGTGGGCATTTCAAATCGTGTCCTCCGGCCTGAGGTGGCGTTGGGTGGCTCCTCTTCTGGGGGGTTTGGGGTTCGTGTGGCAAGCTTCTTCTGTGCTCTGTCAGGTCGTCTTGGTGCATTTGGGCGTGGTCGAAATGATGATGTCCCTCAGATGGGTTTCCTGTCCATTTCCAGTCCTGAAACGGGACTGTGCGGATCTGAGGTTCATTCTGGACTTGTCCCATTTGAACCCCTGGGGTCTTTTGCTTGGCTGTCGCTTCAGGGAGGCTCGTGTTGCTTGCAGATCAATGACCCAGCTCCATTTGGACTGAGCCTCCATGGTTCATGACCTGAACCATGGAGGTTCGATATGATCCTTGGCTCTTTGAGGCTGGTTGCTTCAGGTGACTTGTCTGCTGAGTTCTCAGGGTTTGGCTCTCCTGACAGTTCACATTCAGGGGGTGTCCAACGTTCTGGCAGATGGCCTGTCCTGGTTCATTCCTTTTTCCACGGAATGGACGGTCGGCGCCAACTCGTTCAGTTGGCATTGCTGGACGTACAGGCTCCAAGAGGTGGACCTCTTCGCGTCGGCGTGGTCGAGGAGTCTCCCGGTATATGTGGCGCCCTTCCCCGATAGCGAGGCCGTCAGGGTTGATGCCTTTCAGCAGGACTGGTCGAGATGGGGTTACCTCTACCTCTTCCTCCCGGTCCAGCTGTTGCTTCGGGTTCTGGTTTGTTTGGAGACATACCAGAGGAGAGTAGTCCTATCGGCCCCCTTGGTGGCCGGCCCCGCCTTGCTTTCAGGCTCTGCTTGCTTGGTGTCTGAACCCGGGGAATATTTCTGCAGTTCCGCCTCTTTCAGCAGATTGAGCCAGTTCGGTACATGGCTGGTTCACTTTTCTCCTCTGGTCTTCTCATCGGGTCTTTCTGACGCAGGTTTATCCCCAATTATATAGTGATCAGGTGCTTCGTTCATGGTGTCCCACTTGCGTGCTTCGTCTCGGCGGCAGTATGGAGTTTCCTGGCGGTTCTTTCGTCACTTTTTGTCCCCTCCATAGGTTGTCTTCGGTTTTGGATTGGGTTATTTTGTCCTTTCTTTCTCAGTTGTTTCGGGACCATCATCTTATGCTGAATACAGTCGCCTCATATCGTGTGGTGCTGGTGGAGCCGCTCCTGCTTATGTTCAGGGTGGATGTTACTTTCGCTCCATTTCGTAAGCTATCTCATGCGTTGTTTCACCTCTGGTCTGCTCATGCACCTCCTGAGCCGTACCGTTCTGGTCGTTGGACCAGCTCAGAGACCTGGGTTGATCTCTCTTCCCTCTTCTCCTTGGTTTGTGGTGGCCCCTTTGGTTCAAGATAGTTTTGCTAAAGCTCTTTTCTTGTTCACATTGGCCTCTGGGGATTGAGTCGGCGAACTTCGTGCTCTCTTTCGGTCCAGGGGTTTCCCTGCTCTTTCGGTCCTGGCATTAGGTTCGTTCGTTTGCAGCCATCTCTTTCTTTTCTGGCGAAGAACGAGATGGCCACTTTCCAGAGGGGTCCTTGGGTTGTTGAGGCTTGGTTAGTTTGGCCAGGGGTGCATCATGTGTTGTGTCCCATTGCGGCTCTTCGCTGTTATTTGCCCGCCACAGCCTCAGTGGCAGGGGATGCGCTTTGGGTTGACTCGGTTCCCTTCTTTCCTGTTCCAGAGCTCAGGTCTCCCAGGTCATCCGCAGGGTTATTCGGTCCAGTCAGCCTGTGGTCTATCCTCGTGCCCATGAGGTTCGCAAATTTGCTGCTTTAGCTTCTGTTTTTGGTAATATGTCTTGGGCTGACATTTGGGTGCAGGGATTTTGAAGGTTGAACAGGGTCCTGTTCACCCATTACCTAGTTATTGTTCCTGGTCCTAGCTGGGTGTGTGTCGCTTTGGGTTGCAGATTGCAGCCAAGTTGTCTCGACTTCGTGTTGAGGCACAAGTGGCGCATCTTTCCTGTTATGTCCCTCATTTCCTTGTTCTTTGTTAGGTAGCTCCAGGAAGCAGGAAGTGCTCTCCACAGAAAACCAGCTTTGAATGTAAAGAAACACCATTTTCTGAGTGAGTTCCGGAGGCTCCCTGGCAATCCTTCCTTCCTCCGGTCGGCAGTTTTTGCGTTGCTGATATTCAGCCTCTGAACTGAGGGTGGATAGCTGGGACAGGGTCTGGGGCTCCCTCTTCCCCCTCCCGGGGAGGAGGGAACTGCGCAGACAGGTGGCGCAGCGGTGGGTGTGACGTCATGCTTGTTTGCTTACTTTCAGATTGGGGAGTTGTGCTTAGCAGTTTGAATGTGGAGGCACCCTTTCTGGGTGCCTCCACATGAGGAGTTTCTATAGACCATTGCTCCTCGTGCTTGTCTGAGGGGGGCCAGGTTCTGGCTCGTGGTTCCTGGTACAAATTCAAAATTCAAATTCAAATGTTTATTTAGGTAAAGTACATACATGCAAGGGGTGATACAAATATTGATGAATTTATAGATAGAGCTAGTACATACAATGCCTAAAGCCACTATTACACAAAGCGTTTCGGGCAGGAAAAACACTAAAGACTAAAACTTAATAGTAGGCTAGAACTCCATTCGAATTGACTGATTCCATGGTCTAATACATACATATCAGCCCAGTATATCTCTGGGGAGCTTCGAGGACTCTCCTAGAAAATGGCATTTCATTACATTCAACGCTGGTTTCATGGTTCACTGTGGTGAGATAGCTCAGGGAGCTACCAAAGAGAACCCTCCTAGAAATCCAATATTGAATGTAAAGACATTCTTCTTTTTGGTGGAGCTCTTAGGTGACTTCCTGTTTCTGCCTTCCCTCTTTTTCGGAGGTTTCAGGGATTAATTCTCATTTACGCATGTGTGATGAGGGCAGCTGGGGAAGAGCCTGTGCTGCCATCTGGTGGTAGGGGAATGTAACTAACTGCCAGTTGGGTGTGAACAAAGAGTGTTTGTGACAGGGTTTCCAGTATTTCATGCTGTTGCTTGGTTTGGAGGTGCACTATCTTTCTGGTGGTTTTTCCTTTTGACCTGGGTTGATCTAGCATCCCCAGACTCCCTTGTCTCTATTGAGGAGGGCCAGATTCCGGTCCTGATCCCTGGTAGGCACCCGTGACTCACAACAGCCTGGCGAGGTGCTTTAGGTTTGGTGCTATCCAAGTTGGTGGCTCGGGAAGCCACTGCAGGGATCTCTCCAAAAGAGAAAATTTCATTTCATTCCTTGCTTGCTTAATTTTTTCTCCAGTTTGATATCTCCCTAACCTATTGAAGTGGGAAAGGGGAGGGGAGTGATTATTAATTAGTAAAATATTAGTAAACACATATTGAGAGGTATTTTCAGGCAAAGGCAAAATCTATGTAAGTTAAATATACTTGGATGAGTTCAGTATACTGTATCATGTTTGAATATATATCATGATTAAATTTTTCAGATATTTTAAAGCAGGCTGCTGATTTAGAAAACCTGAATTCAATCTGCAGCTTTTGCTCCAGAATGAAACGTGGCAGGATATATGCCACTGCCCGACGTGAAAGATACAATGTTCTTGCATTTGGCCAACATCTCGATGATCTTGCAGAGAGCTTCATGATGTCCGTGTTTCACAATGGAAGGCTTCGCACAATGAAGGCACATTATAATGTAAAGTGAGTATTTATAACTCTTAATGCTATAGATTAACCCTTAAACTGCGCATCGCACCTGCAGGCTCACGTCTGGTTTGTGTGACATGCCTCCGGGTATTTGTATTTTTCACGTTCCATTCAAAACTCCCGCGGCTACATGGGGTTCACATCAGCTTCCTCAGGGCTCTTGTAAACAGACGCCATCTTTAAAAAAAATCATGGTCCACATTGCCCTGTGTGAGAGCCTCAGTAGTAAGTGAGCAACCAAGGCTGGCGCTCGCAGCATGAGCGCACAGTTTTGCTGTTCAGCATGTGACCACAGCATTGCCTAATAATGCAAAATGTATATATATAACCTGTATTATTTAGCCATGATAGTATTATAGAAGAGCCTGAGTGTGATAATGACTAGGAACAATGTTCAAATATCCAACCCGTTCTCACACAAGACAGCACATATATGACTTAATGCTTAAAGTCAATATGTTGAATATGATTTAGTACATATGTGATATATTTCCAGTTACCTTTTTTACCAAGGCCCAAACTCTTCCTCACGTACCAATTTACGTGTCACAGTACCCGTCCATCAACGTAGATAGCAGAATAGTCGTGATTGGTTCAATTGTAATGAAAATTTTAGTTTTCAGGTCCCACATGGGTTGTGAAATTTACCTACTATTGTCCATGCTCTTAGAATATTACAGATCAGCTACTTCCTATTGAAGGCTCGTAGTTTTGTTTTGAGAAATATTAGTTGTTCTTAGTAAATTATAATAAGCACTATAAATTATTACATAGAATAACAGTGCTTCACCAATCAATATTATATACCATAGTTTGCGCTTTAAAAATCTTTAAAGAATGTTTTGTAGGAACGCTAACAGAAAACGATGTTATGTTGGAATGTTTATGGGGTAAACTACTTCAAACATAGGGATCACTTCCACCCACAGGAAGGGAATGGGGTCCAATACCATCCACTGGATGTGTATGGCGTCCACTACCACCGACAGGATGGGTATGGGGCTCACAACCACCCACAGGATGGGTATGGGGTCCAATACCACCCACAGGATGAGTATGGCGTCCACTATCACCCACAGGATGGGTATGGGGCTCCAACCACCCACAGAATAAGTATGGGGTCCAATAACACCCACTGGATGTGTATGGCGTCCATTGCCGCCCACAGGATGAGTATAGGGTCCAGTATCGCCCACAGGATTAGTATATAGAGTCCACTGCCGCCCACAGGGTCGGTAAAGGGTCCACTACCGCCCACAGGGTTGGTAGGGGGTCAACTGCCGCCCACAGGGTCGGTAGGGGGTTCACTACCGCCCACAGGGTCGGTATGGGGTCCACTGCCACCCACAGGGTCGGTATGGGGTCCACTACCGCCCACAGGGTCGGTAGGGCATCCACAGGGTCGGTAGGGGTCCACTACCGCCCACAGGGTCGGTATGGGGTCCACTACCGCCCACAGGGTCGGTAGGGCATCCACAGGGTCGGTAGGGGTCCACTACCGCCCACAGGGTTGGTAGGGGGTCCACTACCACCCACAGGGTCGCTATGAAGTCAACTACCGCCCATAGTGTTTGTATAGTGCCCACTACCGCCCATAGTGTTATTATGGAGTCCACTACCCCTCATAGTGTCGGTATGGGGGTCCATTACTACCCATAGGGTGTGTCTGGGGTCTATTTTTTTCTGTATAGCAGAGGTGGCAATACTGCTTTTCCAATCTCATTTGTTGTTCAATGTAAAATATTTGTTGCTCGACTTGCAACAATTTATATATATATATATATATATATATATATATATATATATATATATATATATATATATATATATATATATATATATATATATATATATATATATATATATATATATATATATATATATATATATATATATATATATATATATATATATATATATATATATATATATATATATATATATATATATATATATATATATATATATATATATATATATATATATATATATATATATATACCATTCCTAGTAGCCAGAACGCACTTCTCAGCCTACTATGCAAGGCCCGATTTGCCTAATAAGCCAAGTTTTCATGAATTAATTGTTTTTCGGCAACCTAACCTACCTAACCTAACCTAACCTAACTTTTTCGGCTACCTAACCTAACCTAACCAATAAAGATAGGTTAGGTTAGGTAGGGTTGGTTAGGTTCGGTCATATATCTACGTTAATTTTAACTGCAATAAAAATAAATTGACCTCATATATAATGAAATGGGTAGCTTTATCATTTCATAAGAAAAAAATTAGAGAAAATATATTAATTCAGGAAAACTTGGCTTATTATGCAAATCGGGCCTTGCATAGTAGGCTGAGAAGTGCGTTCTGGCTACTAGGTACGACATATATATATATATATATATATATATATATAGTATACTGCCTTTGCAATAATGTACCAATGTGTGTATTTGTTGTATTGTATTGTTGAAATACATTGTTCACATGAAATGCATGTGAAATATTGTTGAAAACATCTTGATGACTTATTAAACCAAAATTATTTATTAGTCAGAAGAAAGACAAAAACGCGAACTATATGTTAAACCTCTACCAGACAAATATTTTAAGTAAAACCGAAGATATTTGTAGTTTTATAAAAGGGGCAGTTTTCATTGCTCGTCGACCTCGAAAACCGCAGCATTCATCTCAGAACCATGCCTATTTCACACAGATTCCTTAATAAACGTAAGAGTTTTATATGTCACAAGAAAGATAGAAATATAAGCTTCATTCTAAATACCTTACCATGGGCATATTTAAATTTAAAGCGAAGATACGTGTACTTTTATAATAACCGAGCTTTGACCCCGGACAGATTGATCGACCGAGCAACTCTCTCTCAGAACAATGTTTATTTCAAGTGAATTCGTTAATAAACATATATGTTTTATATGTCTCAAGAAAGGCAGACATATAAGCATCACTTTAAACACTTTACCATAGACATATTTAAAGTTCTAATGAAGATACATGTATTTTAAAAATTACGGAGCTCCCACCCCGTACAGACTGAACGACAGAGCAACTCTCTCTCAGATCAATGTTTATTTCACGTAAATTCGTTAATAAACACAAATGTTTTATATGTCTTAAGCAAGATAGAAATAAGAGCTTCATTTTAAATACATTACAATAGACATATTTATAGCTCAAGTGAAGATACATATGTTTTTATAGTAGCGCTCAGTAGCTTGTCGGGCATGGAGTGCAGACGCCTACGCACTTGCCGATATATTGTATAATTAACAAAGATACGCTAATAAAGCCTAAAATCTTATATGCCTCCAGAAAGACCAAGATATGAACATTATTATGATTGCACCAAATGAAATATATCATGTTCGAGAACAAAGATATATAAATTTTAAATTAAGTTTCGACTCTTGCTCGGGCGAGAGAGAGGGGGCGACTCTCACCCCATCTATTGGAGATTCTGTCCACTAAAGACCCAAAGCTACTCAAACCCTCCTAGCATTATTTAAGTAATGAAGTAATATGGTATATTTACTATAATGTGGGTGCTGAATGCAGAACATGAGAAAACATATATTTACTCCAAACTAATATAATTTCATTATGAAATAAGTAAATAAGTAGCATCAAAGGAAGTCGACGGTCCAAGCATCAATGTTGTGGAGCGACTTATCCAAGATATATCGTTGTTTGGTAAGTGTTTGTTGGCATATCCAGTTGTCGCACTTCTCTGCACAAATTATCACAAATTTAAATTATAATGTTAACAAGTAGAATACGTATTTTTAATAAAATCTAACATAACTAGCCAGAAAACATTTAACATTTATTAAAAAAATATATGTTTGGAAGTTAAATCGACTTCATAGGACAATAGTTTTGTTATATATACTCGTTATTCGTTGACATGCGTTCGCTACTTAAACTACCATGTACTGTACTTAGGTAAAATCTCCCATGTCTCTTCACTCATCTCACCGAACCCTACAGGCTCTGTGATATATTGTTTAATTAATTGAGATTCACAAATAAAGCTTATAATTGTATCTGTTTACAAAAAGGCAGAGCTTAGTTTAGTTCATTTTTTATGCACCCCATACCCATCCTTTGGGTGATAGTGGAGTGTTACAGAGGCACATAATGGGCTCAGGGACTGAGCCCCACAATTCATATAGCCAAGGAAGTTATAATCTTGATAAGCTAGTTACAAAAGTCAATGCACATTGTCACATCAACAATGGGCTCGAGACCGACCACAAGTACAGTTTATAATTTAAGCAACTGACATATATGGAGGGCTAGTGTCACAATTGATATGTTTATCCTACACATAACCCTCTCTCCCCCATCCAATGGGCAGCGTTGGATAGGTTACAATCAAGTCGTTTTTTTGCGTTTTATTCAGAGATTAGATCTTATTGGGTGCGGAAAGATATTCATATTTTAAAGAAGGCTTCTTGGCTGATGCTCTCTATTGATGGAAAATATATAACCTTTTGAAAATCATTGTTAGTTTGATCTAGATATTGTAATTAACGCAGTTACCTGGTGTTATTCTTCACCTATATCTTTTTCTGGTTAATCCCTATTTACATTATGCAGTTCAGGTTTCGTCGCCAGACTATAGTTTTTAGTTTAGTTAATTTATCACATAATGGGTTCAGGGACTGAACACACAATTTATTTATCTAAGCAAGTTACAATCTTGAGGAGGTAGCCACAAAATTCATTACACATCGTCACATCAACAACATGGGTTCGAGATCGACCACAAGTACAGTTTCTAAATTAAGCAAATGCCATAAGTGGAGAGCTAGTGTCACAATTGGTATGTTTGTCCTGCACATTTCCACAGTGGTTTGCTTGGGTTCTTTTAATTATCTTAGATATCATTGAAGAGAACCTCCTAGTTACTATACTGTATATATGCTGGTAAGAAGTATAATTATCCTGAGAAATCGTGTAAATTATGTTGTT